AGAAAGTGTCCAGCAGGAACAGAAAAGTGTCAAGTTACAGGACAGCACTTCTATGCACCAATAGACGGATCAGTGGCATACAAGCCAGATGGTCAGGGCCACACAGAAGTACCTGAATCCCTGAATGGACCTCAGACAAACAAGGGCCACATGGGCACATGGACTGTTGATGTGTACTGGGCCTTGACTGCTATCATCCCAGGGCCAGAACAGCATGCTTTTTCACAGCCCGTACAGGCCATTCCAATGGCTCATTCTAGAACACGTTTTTGTATGTCTAACAACAGCTCAGAACTATACACACTGGCCCATCCTGAGCAAACTGCCAGCACCAACAAAAATGTCATTTAGTATAGAAAAAGGAGAAGTTAAATCATCTGCATTCAGAAAAAAATGTGTTAAACAATATCTGTCTGAGGACAGATCAGACATTTGTCAGTCCCTGTGAAATGTAAAACTAACATGAAAGAACGTCCATGCCTAAAGTTTCCACTCTCCATAGCAAGGCAAGGCCAGGACTTTCCAGGACAGTCTGTCAGAAATGTACAGCAGCTGCAGGATAGATCAACCCAGCTATCTATTATAACAGGGCAGCTGTAGTTGCAAGAGTTCATACAGTTAAGATATATAGAGTGCAACAGAAATGCTTAATTGGTTAACAAGGTTAACGATTATTAGCGAGATTGGCATAGATGTGTCCACATGGATTAAGAGCACACATTTGAAGTGCCAACAGAGTAATGTACTGTAGCTGCATGTGCAAACAGTGCATTACTTTTCCATTTTCTGCGGAGAAGGGTATATTCTACTACCAAGGATAGATGAGTGCAATGATTGGACCATTGAGAGAATCCCAGTCGCAGGTTAGCTAAAACACCACAAAAAAAATCTGCATAGCTGCAAAACCAAGTCACTGATAAACAATGCTTTCATCGTAACTATACCGATGATGAGTACAGTAGCTGCACAGCTACACAGTGTAAACTGGTGTCTGTCTGCCTTTGTCCTTGTGCATCACACACTGACATAGCCAGTGCAGTCCATCCCAGGAAAAGCCCAGGATAACCCACTGCGTGTTCTAAATCAACTTTAGTGATGACACTACAATTACCAGCTGGTGCCACAGTGCCAAGCCACCAGATTAGTGAGAATGTGGATCATTTCCCTGTGGGACAGCTGAGGAAACAGCCAGTGCCAGCAGCAGGCTAGTTTCCCTTTCGTAGCTCTAACAATGCATCCCAGTTCTTGTGCTCACTGGCCTCACTTCAGGTTCACATCCAGATACTTTAAGCCTCCTTCTCTTCCATTGCAGTCCCACAGGGAGATCTGGCACACCTATCTTCACTCCCCAATCAGCAGAGCACAACTTTTGTTTTCCCAGTTAATCTTCGCAGATGACATGGTTTAAAAGTTTCACAACACTTCCCAGATACTGTATCTCTCTCTGCCCATAACGACTCCAACATCATCGGCATAGTCAGAGGGAGGAATGCATGACAGTTAGGATATTTGTCCAGAAGCACATTCCAAAGCTGGTGCAGAACAGGTTCAATAGCCAAGGAATACAAAACCTTAAAAGGAAAAGTTAAACCACAATTGATCTTCATCACAATCTGAATGGTTCCATAAAATATGAGTTATCACTATAAAAGCAGGCAGAAGTCCCCACTGTCTTCTACAAATAGTGGTGCTCAAAATCATCCAAAGCTTTTCCCTGGTCTAACAAAATCAGGCCAGACTCAAGGCTAAACATCTTTCAGATGACCAAAACAACTGTAATCAGAAACACATTGTCAGAAATTGACATGCTGGGCACATAGTAAGATGGGTCTGGGTTGGTCAGTGTTCTACACTATTCCTTCTTTCCTGCAGTAACTTGCATCAGTCCGTAGAAAAAGGCTGAAAGATATTGGCAACATCTTCGAGTTTACTAGCACTGAGTTCAAAGTAAAGCTCCACAGCACTCCAGCTAATCTCAGCAATCTATTTCAGCAATCTATTTCAGCTCCTTCTGAGTGCTCCTTATTGATCAGAAGCAATAACAGTACAGTTTGCTCTATGTTTGTTTCCTGAACAACACCAGACCAATTCTTTGGCCAGAAAATTGAGAGCATTGAGCTCTGTGATGGTTTCACAAGGGCTCCCCGTTCCCTGGTGTCTATCAGGACAGCCAGTGATGACTTTATAGTTCATTAGACTATGTTCATTTTTACATTCACCATGTATATTTGAACAGCATGAATGTATATTAACCCCACATCCCACCATTTTCTTACATTTTTTAAATTCTCCTGCTATTCCCCTTCATCTGCCAGTAAAAATAGAAGAACTACTAAAATATGAGTCATTCAATAAGAGCATTAAAATACTTTTGTTTTTCACTAAATGTTTAAAAACTCTACAAACAATTAGACAATGATAAGAAGTGTATTAAAAATGTATTATTCTTAACATGAACCCAATACGCAGTATTATCTCACATCTTGGTGAAACATCATCACATCATTGACAGTATATTTGTCAAATTGATGACTTAATAATCTGCTTGACAAAGCCTCACTCGATGTGATTTCTCTGGAATTTGTTGCTCATATCATTTTCAATAACAGCTTATAACAGAACTCCAATTCAGGTTCACATTGGTCCAGAACCTATCCCAGGAGGCAATGGTTCAAGGCAGGATACAGTACTGGATGGGATGCCAGGTCCACTTTTTACAGAAGCCAATTATCCTACCAGCATGTCTTTGGACAGTGGGCAGAAACAGGAGCTCCCAGAGGAAACCCATGCAAACAAAGTCTCCCCACAGATACCTCAGGAATTGAACCCCAGCATTATGAACCAGAAATGCTAACCAGTTCACCACCATGCTGCCCTTGAAATTTGTCATTAATGGTGAACAAATAATAACACCCCCCAAAACGCATCCCGTTTGACAGCTGTGCAAAGTTTTATCTAAATTAATATGAAACTCTTCCAATCCTTCTGCCAAGCATTGTTCAATGTGCAGAGAATCTGTTGCAGGAAGACAACATGCAAATTCTTCTGTAATTAAGCTGTTACCAGTGCATCCCCATTCTAAGTAATAGAAAGATTCCCTACTTTAAATTGTTTCATCAGAGAAAAAAAGTCAGTTGATAGTATCCACAAACAGAAAAAAAAAATAGTTCAACGTTTAAAATTCTGATTTACAGAGACAACGTTTAAACTTACTGAACATATTCTTTAACCTGCACTGGTGGCATTTCCCTTCAGATCTTTCCTTGTCCACCTTTTCTTTGGTACTTTAAACCTGTCATTGGTCTTGGTCTAACTTTAATCTTTATCCACTCCTACCATTACCTGCAAAGAGCTCTCACACTTCCTCTGATATAATCTGTTTGCTCTCAGAGCTACTATGTCCTGCAGTCAGTGTCTGCTGGGGCAGCACCACTGCCTCCAGCCTGTGGATTGTACTTGTCACCTTCACTCTTTCCCCAGGTACTGGGCCATATTTATTTGTCTTTGCACTCCTTTTCTTCCTGAAGGAAATGCTGCTGCCAGGCATTTTCCAATCACATGCCCTTCTCACTACCACTTTGGAATTACTTCAATGATTAAGATGGAGTGAAAGTAATCTAATCATTTAGATGCAACATTAAAATCTTCATTTAAGTCATTAAGAATCTTATACATCATGTTTTCTCCCAAAAGACACTGCATGTCTTAACTGAGGCTTTTTACATCTCAGTGGGATTCTCTCGATGTTGTGCTGTAATTGTCTAACTCAATCTCCATTGTTCCAGTCTCCATCTTGTTCCAAATGATGAGGCTGCCAAATTATCCCCATTTCATGAGAGTATTTACGAGCGCAGTTTTTGCCAGAAAAAGAAAACAGTGGCTGTTTCAAGCAACCAACTTCCATCTCTTATCCTGCTGCCCAGTTCTTAATGGGAATTTCTCCAGGGATACCTTCATGTCACGGTGACAGTTAAATTGTTTCAAGTGAAACTTCAGGGCATCAGCAGTCCCCGAAATGAATATAACAGTCACTTCTGCACAAAAAAAACATAGATTATCAATCTGAAATAAACCTAGAAACAATGTACTGTATATGAAAATTATTGCAAAAAAGGGAAGACATATCTACAATAGATGTCTCTCATTCATTCAAGAGACCATTTCCACCATCTATGGTCACCAACTTCAATTATTGTATGTTTTTTCCAAGCAGTAATTCCTCACCTGCCAGGTGGGCAAAGGAGGCCCTTTCATTGATGAGTAAGGGAAACATGACGGGGTGGTATGTCCTAATTTCTGCAATAGGACTCCTGAATGGTTCTCACTCTCATTAACATTCTCACATTCATTCTTACACCAAATAGCTGTAAGCAGGAAAGACATCAAGCCCAGGCAGAAACAAAATCCAACTATTTTAATAAAATGTCAGAGACAAAATAGAAACTTTTCAGTTTAAATAAAAAGCATTACATTCAGTACAGCACATCATCACTACTGTCAAGCACGGTGGTAGCATTATGATACTATGGAGTTGTTTCTCATTAAAGCCTTACATAAAAACCTGTTTCTGTCGGTTACACATGTAAAACTGGAATGAAAATTCACATTTTAGCAAGACAATGATCCAAAGCATAAGCCCATGGTTTAAGAAGAAGAAAGTCAATGTCCTTGAGGGGCCTAGTCAAAGTCCTGAGTTGAATTGGAAATAAAAGCGTAGAATGACTTGAAAATTGAGATTCAAGTCAGAAAATTTGATAGAGCATGAGCAAGTTCATAAAGAATAATGGTAGAGATTTATTCAAACAGACTTGCAGCTGTAATCGCTGCCAAAGGTTTTTCCACCAAGTATTGACCCATGGCTGTTATTATTTATGCAACCAACATATTTTAGGGACATCATAGGGCCACAGTTATGTCATTTTTGCATATGCAAAGGCAATTGTGGTGTGTCTCTGAGCTGCCAAGTGACTGTCGGTATGTCTGCTCTTTCTACTATACAGGTTTCGGATGACGTGCCATAAGATTATCACACACAAGATGTTTGATCACATCGTCTTGGTAATCATCTTCCTGAATTGCATCACCATCGCCATGGAGAGGCCCAAGATCGACCCCCATAGTGCGGTAGGAGAGGCCTTTTCATCCTGAGAATTCTGTGCATTCTTTGAGCATTCCTGGTTTGTTGTGCCCTCACTCATTTTTTATAAATGGAAGAGGTAAAAATGTTGCTAAAAACAAACTTGCATTTTATTTGGAATTTAGTCCTGGCTGGGAGATTATGTACTCTTTCTACAGGGAAACTCAGCAGATTCAGTTTGTGTTTTATAATCTGTGCATTACCTGAATTTGATCAAGTTGATTACATACACAAAGTTGGGGCAACACTAAATCCTTAGCAGAATTTAAAAAATAATAATTCTTTCAAAATCCCAAATTGAATCAAATTTCTGTGCTTGATTTGTTGATTTTGGAGAGGCACACTATGCTGGATCAGCCTTCCCTCTTGCAGTTAGCTCTCTCCGCCCTGAAAGAAATCTTATATATTGTTTCAGGTATACAAGTACTAATCATTGTTACTGAGGCTTTATATTCTAACTGAAGGAACACATTTTCACCAGCATTTACCTTTTATCTCATTCCTTGCTAAGTGCCACACTGTCATTATACTGTAGATTGCTTTTATTGACATCTTGTACTTCTTCATGTTGCAGGTAGAAATGACTCATTACAAGACAAATGGTTTGATTCAATAGTTTGGACGTTACAGCTCACAGATTGTCTAATTCCCTACTTCTTAAATTAATTATATTCATAATTTTGATAAAAGTGCACAAAAAGAATGAAAAATAGATAATATTTTTGTATGCTTTTGTAAGCACTAAATCCCTGTTTTCCCTTGGGTACAAGTACAATAGTAGGAAATAAAAATCTGTGCAATGTTTTTTCCAAGCAGCAATTCCTCACCTGCCAGGTGGGTAAGGAAGCCCTTTCATTGATGAGTAAAGGAAACATGACGGGGTGGTATGTTCTAATTTCTGCAAACGGGCTCCTGAATGGTTCTCACTCTCATTAGCATTCTCACATTCATTCTCACACCAAATAGCTGTAAGCAGGAAAGACAACAAGCCCAGGCAGAAACAAAATCCAATAATCATGCCTAATGTCATTACTACTCATAATATATCATGTGGAATTGACATGGTAGGGACATGCAGGAGGCAAGGCAGTTTGGTGTGTGGCTGTATTTATGTGTAGGGGAGTGGGATGTGTTGTCATTTACATGATTTTCAAAACATTAAGCGGATCTTCTCCTGCTTTGCCATGTTGTAAGTATAACATATTTCCAGGCCTGTATAGTAATTGTTTGGTATCATAGAAACCCTTTTGGATCATTCGAATTATGTTTTTATTAGTATTTATAGTTTAAAATAAAAGTGCTAGGTTATATGGTTTGGCAACACTGGGTTATTCAGAACAAGTAGGATTTTTAAAAAATCTTATTTTCTAAAAACAGTCATAGTACTGATCTCAAATTCAGATGCACGAAATTCTGTCCAAGAATTACACTTGTTCAGGATATGTTAATCACTTGTTTTGTCTGCTGTATAGTATTATTAAAAAAAACATTAAGGTTTGAAAACATCTAAAATAGCTTGGCTGATTGAAACCAATTTGGTATACAGGTGCAGTACATAACCAATGATCAGGATATAGTGTTACATTTAATAAAGCATCATTTCCATTCGTCAAACTTTTATCTCCTAAAGGTGTAATGTCAGGTTTCCCCCAGTCATCCTTGTATGTACAGTATCTATTCTAGTCTTGGTTAAGGTTTGCTTTCTGTTGCTGATGTGTCTGTGTTGGAACTGGCCTTCTTTCTATGATGTTTACCACCAAGTTGGCACTGTTTATCTCTGTAGAGCAGTGTAGTGGGTTCTCTTGTGCTTAATGCTCACTGTGCTTCACTGATGGATGAAGTAGAGCACCCCTATCTGTAAAACGCAGTGAGATCCTTTTGGATGAGAAATGAATTTAAATCTAAGTTATTTTTATAAAAAGTATTATAAAATTGTTTCTGTTTAAAACAATAATCCTGAGTTTGGTATTGCCTTGTTTTGTATAATGTTATATATTTTTGGTCATGTCTCTTGACTCCATCAGGAATGTACTACAAGAAAGGTGTCTGAGCTGTCAGAATACATGGTTTTAATGTTCCAGTTTACTCTTACAAATTAATGTTATTTTCTCAAATAAGAAGAACTGGATCAGCAAAGATATTATAGCTCTAGTACTGCATTATTTTATGGCATGTTCAAAGACATTGATAAAATCTTAAACTGATTCTGATTTTATTTTCTTACATCCAAGCAACCCTATAGTGAAAAATGCAAATTGCTTTGTGGTGTTCATGAAAAATCCTGTCACATGGCAGTTAGGTTTCTGGGAAAACCCCTGTAAAACAATCAGGATTTAACTACAGCTTACACTGCCATACAACAAGGTGAGGCATCTGTGGTACATCAATGAGTAAACAGTGCTGGTAAGACAAAACAGCATTAAATACTTAAAACTGATTTTCCAAAAAGTCAGTCTCACTAAGAACACCGGCATAGTTGTTGGGCCCATTTATTTACAAAGATCATTTCAAATTAAATTAAATTGACACCAAAGAGACTTTGGCTACGGTATCCAAATCTTGAAAGTAGACTGAGGTTTTGTAAAGTGTAGATTTTAGTTCTAAAAGATCGGTGTATGTGTCTCTGGCTGGCAAGTAATGAGCCACTTAACTCAGGCAGTGCCATTCATATTTTATGAACAACTCATCTAGATGTTAACAAATTGCTGTTTGGAGACCACGCCAAAGTCCTTTGTGTGATCTTGCACACAGTTTATTCGATTTTCCTTACCACCTCATGAGAAATTTATGAAGAAAGGGGAGCTGTGCACTGGGATAAATAGGCAAGGATTCCTGCATTAAGAGTTCCTTATAAAAGCAAACCACATGAGATAAATGTCTGTGTAACGAACAGTTCTTTCCGGACCCTATGCGGACGACACAGTCCGATGGAGTGGGGAAACACTAGGGAAACGTCATGCAGGAAAACGGGGCTGAAGACAAGGGGGAGTGTCCAAGGTGCGCTGGTGCACGGGGGAGGTGTGGCCGAGGCGAACAATCCGAGAGTAGTCCTTAGGGAAAATCCAAAACACACGAGTAAGTCCAAAACCAGGAGATCCATCAGAAGAAGGAATTAAAAACACGGAACCGGCGGAGAGGGAACGGGAACCGAGGATAAAACCTTAACGGGACCAGGCGCTTCCAGGTCCCGGACTCGCACGATATGGAAATCAGATGCAGAGCCCGGATGAGCGTCAGCGCCTGGCTTTTAAGGTGGGCTGGGAATGTGAAACAGGTGCAGAGAATAAAGTCTTGAGTGAAAGGGCTGGAGCACCCTTAAGGAGGGGGAACCAATATCGTGACAGTCTGTCTGATATGAAATGACAAATGTATGATGTGTAAACATCTCACTGAAAGTCTGTGCTCAAAACCTGGTTATATGTGAGCTTGGCTATTCGCCATGGTTCTCCACACTGTACCCTCACAAATGTCAAGATTTCATCAGCTTTCTCTGGACATGTTATCTTGATCATGGGTCTTTCATGTTTATTTAATCTTTCTGGTCACAACAGCTGGACCATTTAGGTTCGTTGCCTACTGTGAAAAAGCAGTTTTGGACCTGATGTGTTTATTTCAAAAATTGATTTTGGTAATCAAAACTTTCATCGAAAACAAAATGGAAGCCTGGCTTCAAGATTGGAGAGTTTGCTAACTCTTGTGTCCATTCTTTTTATTTTGGACACCTAAGCTGTCTGCCAGTTATAGATAGATAATACTTTATTAATCCCGTAGGGAAATTGATGATACAACACCAACAATAAAACACAAAAGAAAACGCTGCCGTAACGCAACTACAAATCAAACTGCCATGTCCCTTTGGTTCACAAACCTTTCTCGGTCTCCTTTAGAGACTTGCTTTCCGCATTTATATGCATCTGCATTTGCATTTTCTGCCTTTCTTTTTTCCCTCTCAATCTCATTCTCTCTCAGCAGTTGTGCTTCCTCCATCCAAAAGGATATGACCACATATCCTTCATAACAGTGGTATCTAGAGAGAATTCATTGCTCTTTAATGAGAGTCCCATGGAGATTTTTCCTATACATAGAGTATATACGGACCAAGGATATTATTGCCTTTTATGTAGTCAAAATTATGATGGCAGCCTAGTTTTTCTGGGCAATATTTTACAGTCTAACTGGATTTTTCAGCATGATAACTGGGGGTATGAGCTGTGTTGTTAGGTGATTTGACACCTGCCACTGTGTATAACAATTGCAGCTAATGAACAGTAACCTTTATGCTCATAGATCCCTTAGGTTTTACTGACTGGAGTGCACAAAATCCTGATTATCTCCCAAAATGGTACCTCTGACAATGCTAGCACTCCATTGCTTGTAACCCTTAAACTACCTTACATTACTCAGCGCTCACCATGTCATATGTCCTTTCAGTTTTTTTTAAGTGGTTTGCCTTCGCTATTACATTTTGGACCCTCTCCAGGATCCTAGCCCTCTTCTTGGATCCCTTCCCTAGAAGACTGAGCAGACTCATTGCCCATTCTGATTCACCCTGGTATCTTCTACCACACAGTTCATTTGACACATCATAGCTTCCTGTGTTTTCGGTCTTCTACACCAAGAACCTTACTCCTTGGGCTCAGCTCTCTTTCTTTCATTCTCATTGCTAGGCATACATAGAGTTTTCATTTTGACTTGCGATGTTATGTGCTGCCGAGTTCTCTTTCTCTTCACTTTTCCACTCATGGCTGGCTAGGGAAACTTTTCTATACCAAACCCAGGCATTCTTGACACAGTAGCAGGCTGTTGTCTGTGCCCTCCACTCTCACATTTATAACACATCCTCAGCAGCCCCTCTGTCTAAAGCTCTTACAGGGAGTTATACTGTTCATTGAGCCTGGCAAACCCATACAACCCACCTGTCCAGGATCTGTATTTGCTCAGAATACAGCTCAGTGCTGTATTCACCATACTGTACCTTGCTCAAGCTAACTCATAATCTTCTGAGTCCCACAGACATCCAGCTAAAGCCTAAACTCCAATATAATATTTTTTTCTAGCTGCCTGAATTCTCAGAGGTGTAGCTAATTCCATAGAGATCCTATCCTGACTGTTGTTTTCCCACCTGTGGAATTATGTTTCCTCAAAGTGCTTCTGACATGTATCTATTATCAGTGATTTCCAAATACCGGATCATTCACAACCCATAATAACTGTAACCCACAATAGTGACTGTCTTGTTTGCATGGTCTTTGTGACTGTATCACAGTATTGTGCTCCTGAGAGGGCTAGAACAGAGTGAAAATGAAGGGCGTCTTAAGGCTGCCTGGGGGAGGTCAAAAGAGAGTAAACAGGGCTAAGAGGAACACCACCATACATATTATCAAGCATCACTCTAAACTGTTGCAGGAAAGCTGATACCTTGATTAGTGAAGTGGTAGGAGCACCAGGGCCTCCCTGCAGGGCAGAGAGAGAGTGGCAGTGCTTAACTCTGACCTGAATTCTGCCACATTTCCCAGAGGAGCTCTGGCAATACTGAACTGTAGATAAAAGTGTGTAGCCTGTATTTGCTTGGGCATTATTTGGGTGTTTAATAGCTGTTCCTCAGAATGGGAATGTTTACAGTTGAATGTGTGAGATTAAAAAAAAACATAACTAACAATAAATAATCAGTACTTACTGTAGGAAGTACAGTATTCTTGATTTCTTGAAACAATAAAGTACATTGAAGAAGACATAAGCATTTGTGACTTACAACAGCTCTGAAACTCAGTTTAGCAGTTGATTGTGCATCATGCATACTGTACATGAGAAGATTGGTACAAATAACCAGACACTAATGATTCAGCATTTTCTGTGGCTATAATGTATTATCATAAGTAGTAGTTACAGTCTTAGTATTACAAGTAGTAAAAGTGTTGTTTACACTGATGTTTTATATATAGATATATAATGAATTCATCTTAAAATCTCAACACTGTTAATCGGGAAGCATTACTGTTTAGCAGTGTTCTTATCCTTTCCCCTAGGTTTTGGTAAGCATTTCATGTTATAATATAAGTATTAATATCGGCTTGGCTATCTATCAAGCTTCCCCAGTCTTCTTTTCATTATTCAATACTATTGCTTTTAATAGTTTTATCTTTTACATTACATTTTATTTATTAACACTTAAAAACAATTCATAACACACACACAATATAAGTAAAAAAAATAATCATGCAAATATTATATCATCATAATCTCCTTGGAATTCTATTGAATACAAACCAAAGCATTGGAGCTTCACACATTGAAAAAAAACTGTTGCTTCTTGCTAGGCTGTTCCAGCTTCCAGCAGAGTGGTTTTCTGTAATGTAGCACTTACAGGAGCTCGCGTGTGGTGTATAGCCATATGAAGACAGAATCATTTTCTGGAAAAGAACTGCTTTTAATTTGGATGGCCAAGTACTATATCTCATTTCTCTATCACACAGTGGACACAGTAGGTTGGGAAGAACACACTCTCACCTAGACTCCCAAAAGAGTAGTTTCCCAAGTTTCTTCCCTATCCTTGCACTGCTCAGGTTAAGTGTGAGGCACCACCACCAGATTGACACTGTACTATACATGCTGAGAAGTAACAGCACAGGCAATCAAACAAGGGCAAATAAACATTGAATGGCTATTAAAGTCAATGGAGCAGGGAAGCCCAAGCTGCAATTAGTGGAGTACCACAGGGATCAATATGAAGACCAGACTGTACAAGTGGTAACTAAGGGAAAGTGCATTTAAAACTGAGAACACAAAGCACTTCTTTAATCAAAGGGTTTTGATGTCCGGAACAAGCTACCCAGCCGTATTGTTGAAGACATACCCTGGCTTCTTTCATTAATTGACTGTATGAAATCCTTGGATCAATCAAATGCCCTTATGTTCTTATGACCACTGCTCCTTCCAAAACATGAATTCAGAACAAACAGTAATCTAGATTTTGGAGTCATTAGTAAATACCATGTTCTGAATTTATATTTGGCAAACATATATTGTTTAAATTAAATCCATGCCTTGGTAAATACCTGTCAGATGGCATATTATGAAGAAAAGTACTGTACAAAGTGTTGTATATAGTATTGCTTATAAAAATATTCATTGTAAATATAAAATGAAAAACACTGAGCTTAAACAGGCTACTTGAGAGGTTGACTTAGACTTTATGCTGTCACATCAATTTTGGATTCTAGTCAATGTGTAGACGTAAAAGAAAAGAAGAAAAATATTTGTATATATCATTAAAAACATCATTTTAAATTAGGGGATGTTACGCTAAAGTTGCACAAAGCCCTATTGAGACCTTATTTAGCTTATTGTGTACAGTTTTGATCACCATTTACTGTAACATTGCTACAATACAGTATGTCCAGAAATGATCAACCAGGTATATTCTCAGGCTAAAGGAACTCAATCTTTTAAGTCTTAGATGAATGAACACAAATTGAAACACACTGCATTTAAAAAGAAAAACAGTGTGCTCAAAGGCCTGTGGGCTCCTTGATCAAGCTCCCCTGCTATGGTGTTGAAGCCAGGTCTTTCAGGAAATAGCAAGATCAGTTAAGCAAGAAATGAACTAAATCAACTGCAAAAACTCCTCTTGCTTGCAAGTATTCTTATTTTACATGTGTTCCCCAGATATACCAACAGTGCCTGTGGTGATCTGCTACCCATTCTCCACTGTTTAGTCGTTCTTTAAGATCTGGTGGTCAGACTTAGGGCTCTAGTGGGGAAGGTTAAATGGAACATACTGGGCTCTAGGACTCACTCCAATTGAGAATTACTTCAGCTTCTTAAACAGCATTTTTGAAATACTAGATTTTGCATTTTATCTTTGGATTGTATAACAATTGCTTGTTTATTTCTCCACCAGCTAATTCAATTATATACAGAAGTTTAAAGAAACCACATGACCTTGCTTGGTATTCATTGGCCAGCATGGGGTATTTTCTGTTTTACTGCCTTTACACCAGTTGTTGTCAGGACCAACTAACATTTGAATTACAGTATTATTTAAATGTTATTTAACTAGTAAAATCTGCTAATCTTGATTTAAAAATTGCAGAGCAAAATTAGAGATCATTTTGTGCTTTCTAGCATTGTGAAAGGAGCAGAGCAAATTAATCTTAAAATTCCCACAAATCATAGTATCAACTTGCTCTTAAAAGACCGCATTATGCCTTTTAATGTGTTCCTTGTAACATATCTACATGATGTCATCAGTAAATATAACAATGTGCTTTCTTCCTGCCTTTTTTAATGTTGTAGTTTACTGTCAGATTAGTGATTCTAATCATTTTGAAGTAATATAAGTTTAATTTAGTAATGAGGAAAAGCAAAATGTTCCTATGTGTCAATAATGTTTCTTCAATCTCTTCCTTTAAAAAACCTCTGCTGTTAGCTCTACTCATATGTATTTGAAAACAAAAGACCAAGGAAGACCTATTGCATGGAATGTAATTCTATTAAGACTTATTAGTCATCGGTAGGATGAGCATTTCTCAATCTGGATAAGAAAAGGCTAACTCTAGTGTTTCTTTTCTCATTCTAATATACTTTTGAAGGCCTGGGTGGACCGGAGCAGCCCTTACCTCACTTAATGTACCACAGCGTACAGTGTCTGCAATAGGGAATTATTAAACCCATAGCTTTCTGGATATAGAGCACTGTAGATCCAAAGGCTAATTCACTAAGCTAAGCCGCTTCCTAATTTAAAAAAAGGACTGAGGCTGAAGTTCAGATTCACTTACATACTAAACTGGCCTCATCCCAGTTGCCACCTTTCTCTGGTTTTCTTTTATCTTGTTTTTTAGTTAAATAATCTTTGGTATTACTGTATATTGAGTATGTAAGAAAGGAATTCAGGGCCCATTCCAGAACTTTCGTTGAGGAGGGTGCAGTAGCTGGGAAGAAAGGTGGGATGGAGGTCACATGCCCTTGTCTACAGTATGTGGAGCAGGGGTTGTACTCATTGACAGTTTTCATGCTAAATTGTCATTTTCAGAACAGATATGACAGACAGGACCGTGCAGTGCCATTCTCCCGTTCTTTTAGGAAGCGCATGATATGACATGATAGATATGTGGTCATTCAACTATTTTTTGTTAGTTGTTCAATCGGGTTTGTCTGAAGGGCCTGTTCAGATCCTGTGAGAACATGAGAGGGCACACTTGTTAATGTTTTTTACATGCCTGTTCCCTCTAGGGCCCAGACATAGTGACTGCACTTTGAGTCACTCACAGTGGAGTATATGGGAGACTCATGTGATCCAGCCTGGCTAACCTGAATAAGTTCTGATCCTTACACTGACTCACCCTTCACTTCCCCTCTCATCTCCCTCTTTCCACAGGAGCGGATATTCCTGACGCTGTCCAACTACATTTTCACTGTGATCTTCCTAGCGGAGATGACCGTAAAGGTAGGTGACAAGGGTGACATTTGGAACAGTGGGACTATTGTATCGAAGTGACATCGGATAAACAAATATGCAGAGCTCGAAAACTCTGCTGCCCTTTCTTGTTTTTTAACCCTTAGGAGATATTGGATTGAATAAAACATTTATATTGTTAAAGCCATTTCTTTATCTTTCTCCTATTCCCCATAATGTATTTGAGCCCTGGAGAAACTGAACATTTGACATAACATTCTTCTGCATTTGGAAGGCCACAGCAGGAAGGGGCATCTCACACTATTGTGCTTTTTCCATCCTTCACATTTTGTGAAGCTCTCTTTGAAATGTGAATCTAGTGTCGCAGGGGGAGAGAGCGCTTGTACCTCCATTTAAATTTAATGTTGTAATTATAGCTTTTCCTTATTGTAGTTTTTGAAAAAATAAATAATTTCTAACAATAGAAACCAAAACTTGCTATAAATACAGGTACATAACACATCTAGTTTGGATGGCTTCTTTTAATTTTTCCTTTCTTTCAAAAAACATTTTGTCCTAGAACATTTTTATTGAGTTATTTTGTCCTATTTTCTACACATTAATAGCTCTGTTAATAGCTTCCATATATCGGATTACACTGACTTTGTAGTAGGAAAATTGAATTTCAGTACAATTACCATTAATAAACTTTACAACTAAACTATTTCAAACAAAGCATCTTTTAAATCTCTCTTTTTTTAGAAATTCGACTCTGTTACTTAAATAGTGTTTAGTCAAATCACCATTTAAAGCCTTACGAATATAAATCAAACGTAGAGTCACGTAAGACACAGCAGTGAGTTAAGAATAATGTGGATATTTTGAAGATGAAGGGTTTGAAGGTTAGAATTCACGAACACAAACAGCTGCAGTCTAATAAATAAAGAAAAAAAATAGTTTTAAATGCTACCAAAATTTCACACGTGAGTTCACTGTCACTTGAATAACCTTGACCCAATCCTTACTGAAACAGGGACTGTTGGTAATTCATAATGAAATGGTTTAAAACATAGATAGCTTTTGTATCTATTATTTAGATTTGAACTTGAACTTGAACTTTATTGCCATATGTAACCAGTACATGTACTGGTACAATGAAATTCTTACTTACAGAGTCTCGTGATTGTTAAAAAATGTGTAAAACACAAAGTGCAGACAGTGCATCAAGACAATATACAAACCGTAGACAATGTATAAGTAAACAGGCAAACAGTTCGAATATAAACAATGCAGACATGTAAACAATGACTGCACTTGTGCAATAAATACAATTATAATGAGAGAGATGGTGTAGGTGTGGTCCGATGGACATGGCCAAATGTGTTTGCTAATCGCACTGCTTGTGGGTAGAAGCTATTGAAGAATCTAGTGGTAAGTGTCCGTATGCTCTTGTATCTCTTGCCTGAGGGCAGTGGGGTAAAGCTCATGCCCGGGGTGGTGACTGTCCTCTGTGATGGCCAGAATTCTACCATGGCAGCGGTCCTCATAGAGCTGTTTAATCTCTGTGAGACCACAAGAGTCTACTTCTGAAAAGGCTCAATCCTCTAAAGTACAATGTGAAGGAGCCTAGAGCCGGCCCAAAAAAAGTGAGTGAACTAGATAGTGTGGGAATATTCATTCTTGAAGGTACACAGGAGACAGACCATGTAGTTCCTGATAGCAAGTCAGTCTCATAAGAAAATGGATGCCAGTGCAGGTTTTTCAGCACAGGAGAAATATGTTTGGAATTTTTTATTCAAGCAGCACAGCTCTGTACCTACTGTAGTTTTTATTAAATATAATTTATGCAGAGCTAAATAAGTCAGAATGGAGGGTGTCAAACTGAAATTCTGAAAGCACTGTTCAAGAGTAGCATAAGAATTTGCAAGGCTATTGGTTAAATGTGATATGTTCTGCTAAGTGATAAGTGTTGATCTTATTCTAAAAAAATGAATCTGTTACATAAGTCGAGGGAGTTCTAATTGGGTTTAGAAGCTGGTTTACTGTTTTAAAGATTTCATATTTATTCTTATTCACCCCTTTCTGGGTACATAAAGCAATATCTGTACTTGTATACCTTTGTTGGTTCCTAAAAATTAATCTCCAAAACCATATCAACAAAATAAGGAATCATTGAAATATGAACATTGACATGACATGAAGACACAAAGATATTTTTACGTGCTGTATAATTGCTGTACTGTAAGAGAACTGTGTTTTGGTCCTTTCAGGTCGTGGCTCTGGGCTGGTGCTTTGGGGAGAAGACTTATCTGAAGAGCAGCTGGAATATCTTGGATGGACTGCTAGTTCTCATCTCTGTCATTGACATACTGGTCTCCATGATCTCCAACAGCGGCACCAAAATCCTGGGCATGTTGAGGGTCCTGAGGCTCCTCCGAACACTGCGCCCACTGAGGTACAGCGAGAGTAGAGTGTCAGGGTGAAGGTTGAATGTACACACTCATTCAGGTACAGCAGGGTACACTGCGCCTGCTGAGGTACAGCCAGAGTAGAGTGTCAGGGTGAAGGGTGGGTGTACACACTCATTCAGGTACAGCAGGGTACACTGTGCCCGCTGAGGTACAGGCAGAGTAGAGTGTCAAGGTGAAGGGTAGGTGTACATACTCATTCAGGTACAGTGTCAGGGTGAAGGGTGAGTGTATACATTCATTCAGGTACAGTGTAAGGGTGAAGAGTGAGTGTACACACTCATTCAGGTACAGCCAGGGTACAGTGTGAGGGTGAAGGGTGAGTGTACACACTCATTCAGGTACAGCCAAGGAAGACTGTCAGGGTGAAGGGTGAGTTTCCACTTTGTAATAACTGCAGCTTATTTTTTTATTTAAAATGTTAAGAATTTGTCATTTTTGTTTTTACCAGCATGATCAAGATAATAGGCAATATCACTGGGATACTTTATGAAATTATGGATATTTATCACCATTATTTATTGTCCTCTTCATTGTTTATCATTGTGTCATATCATTAATGACCTAATTTTCTGCTATAAAAGTTTTCTGTCATGAAGTTCCTCTCTAGCAACAAATTAGGAATTCTAGATAAAAAAATGATGATGGTTTCTACTGTTAGAAATTACTGTCAAGAGAATAAAGCAATGGGTATATATGGTACCTCTAATACAGCTTCAGTCTTACTACATCAAATGACTGCTGGTCCCAGAGCTAGCTACTGTACTCCACTTATTTTAAATTGCTTGTTTCTGCAGCTTATTCACAAAAAAGCAAAAACATCATAAAGGAGTAACAAATAATGTGAAGTTTTGTTTCTTAAAAATGTTCCAGAGCAAGCAAAATAAATTGCACTCTATGCAGTTTTTTTAGTCTTGTGTCTGGTAAGGTTATAAGATTTTTGTGTGTATGTACGGTTTGTTTTGTCGTAAATGTGCTCATTTATAGTTATAATGAACTTTGAAGTATCTGACATATCTTGTACAGTACAGTATGTGGCTTTCAACCACTATCCACAATTGATGTGGTCTTTAGCAGCTGGACCATACTTGCTGTTAGTGCCTGGTGTAGTGAACAGGTATTCAGGTTGCTGGTGTGCCGCTGGTTTTTAATAGTTTCTGTTGAGAGATGAACCTCTGTGGCTTTTTACAGATGTTGCTGTAGATACATTTAATTTCGCTTTCTGTCATGTAGGATCCAAATACACCAATTAGTTCAGGGGCCAGTTCTGATGTCACTTTGTGCAACTTAGACATTAATTGCAGTATAAATTCAGGACACTTCTGGTTCCCTGAAACAGGGACAACAGGTGGTTAACGACTACCTGAAATATTTAGTTCTTTATTTGTGTGATGAATGGCTTGCTGCCTTTCATCTTTCATTGCAAGTTGCCACAGCAAAATGACTGCATACCAGTATATACAGTAGTAATTCTAATTAGGGAATGAAGATGTAATCAGTTTAACAGCTGGCTAAAACAACTTGTGAAAGCATTTTATCTCACTATATGTCTCACTACATAAATTAAATTTCCTACTGTACATATGCTCCTCTGATATACAGTAATATGGTTTTCCAGAACACCCATTCTCACACTAAACTTGTCTTTGGTAACATTTGGTTGTATTTCTGTAGCTACACCTATCTGCTGACACGCACATCCTGAGTGGGTGCTGGTCAAACTCCAAGGATCTATGGTTGTTTTAGTTCTTACATCTTCTCAAATCTCAAAATGGCTGACTCAGCCTCACATAGATGTCAGTGCTTGTTGCCTCTTCTTAGTTTTAGTTTTAATGTTTCTCTTTTGCTAGCAGGCTGGTGAGAGAAATTTAAATATTAATCATACTCTGAGCAGGAAATGAAATATTCATTTCTCCTGTGTCCCCCTACAAAATATAAGATCCCATTTTCATCTCAGGCTCGCCTGATTTTCCTGACCTCTGACCAGCAGGAGTACCTGTATATACTGTCACTTGTATTTAAAGAGACAAAAGGAGACAAAAAATAATTTCTGTAAATTCCACAGTGCAAACTCTTTTTAAGTCTTGCACTGTCTTACACTTGTCTCCTTCAGTGTCATACTAGTAATTAGTAATTGGGGAATATCACTTGAATTTTAACTTTCTTTCTTTTTGATGAAGTTGTAGATTATCTGAGAAGTTGGAGAAACTAAAATCAAGTTGAATTAATTATTATTAATATTATGGGGATGGTTCACACCAACAGGAACTGGAAAGTCTATCACATTAAAGGAAATGTGATAAACGTGCAAAGTTCAGGCAAATCCTAGAGAAAAATCTGCTTGACTCATTCGGGAATCACATCTAAATCTACATTGACAAACCCTGCAGCACGAAACCAAAGCCATGTGGCAGTGTTTGCGCAAGAGTTGGCCAGTTGCAGTTCTAATCCAGTAGAATATTAATAGTGAAACCTAAGGATTGCTCTTCATCGGTGACCCCTCAACAACACGTAAGAACAAGAAAATTATATCGTCCCACTGTAGAGAAACCTATTCAAAAATAATACATGTACCAAGTACCACCAATTACTGACAGAGGGCTGAATACTTGATACGGAATACTGAAATCTGTATTCAAAATTTTGCTGACATTCAGCCTCCTTCACATACAGTATACAGTAATAGTGTTTAGTTTGATCATTACTGAATAAAAAATTGAATACATTTTTTTAAAATAAAAAACTGTTTGAATAATGGTTATATAGTGTGACGTGGGTGTGGGTGTGGTCTTATGTACAGTATAATAAGATACAGTATAAAGATTTTTTAAATATATCGTGATCTGACCAATGCAAGTCTGATCGGTCTGATGTGGTTTTTAATGGCCAGCTGGAGTTTCACACTCTTATTTTTTCACCTTTTTTCTCCCACCTGCTGCTGTTCTGCATACTGTACATCTTCCTGTTTACAGGCAAGGCAACATGAAAACCAGCCAAAGCTGCTACTCTCTTTGAATCTCTGAATACATTTGCAGGGTACTTATATCTCCAATGTTTAACTTGCATTTATATTGGTTTAGTTCAAATCCTAATTTAACTATAAGAAATATTTTGCCAGAAGATTAGTAATTCTTCCTAGCTCTATGTAATGGAAATATTCCAACACACACTGGGTTTACTGGATTAGTTTTGATTTACAGTAATCTGTGCTTTAGTCTTTGGATCAAGTCATAGTTTCTTAACCATTTTCAACTGAGTCATTTGACTGCGTTGACATCTGTAGAACCTGGAATTGTATCTCTGCAATGAAGAAACCATGAGCAGCAGGGGTATCAATTATATGTCTGTGTCAACAGCTAACTGAATGTACGCCTGGAATTCAGTAACTAATCACATGAAGCAGTCTTCTGGGATCCTTAAAAAATGGCATGATGATATTCTGGGCCAAAGACACACAAGTATTTCTAGCATTTTATTCTTTTGTGCTTTTGTTCTTGTTTTTTTTTTATTTAGAAACATCAATAAGTTTCCTATACCTACTTGATTTAGAATAGCCAATTGTGAGTTTTTCACATCACCACCAATCCCCACAACCTACGCACAAGGGAGAATGAGTAAGTGTAGGCCAACTCCTTCAGCCCACGTGCCTTTGAGCCATTTGTCTTTTAAAATAGGTCTAGACCACGTTGTCTTGTACCGGAGGTTCAACGTTGATTGGAGAAGAAGTGCTTCCCTCTGCACTGCACTGCTACTCAGTAGGCCTATTCTGATGTTTTTTTCCAAGATAGCTGTAGGTTGTTTCAACAACAATTCTTGGACAGATTTTAAAACAAATATTGTTTAGAGCTCATCACGATAGAGCCTTGTTTTCTTTTGCAAGTAGTGTAACGGGACATACAGTACAGTACAAGCAGTAAAAATAACGGTGCCTAGCTATTTTCCTTGACAAGGACTTTACAGGACGAACCACAGTAGAACTCCCTATTCTTTCTAGAAACTAGAACATCTTAAAACTGACTTGTTCATTTAATGTCACGTTAGTGATAAGTTACAGGAGTTTGTAGCCAAATATGCCACCTAGCATTTTAAAGGGTGCTATGTCCCTATTCCCCTGCTGCATGTTGTTTGTTTATCACAGATCCACCACTGCTCCCAGAGACCATTTCAAGTCAGTTATCCTGCATAACTGCCCTTTTTTACTCTTAAGCAATTGCAAGCCATCACTAGCTGAACATAAAATAACACACAAAAAATAGTATACACAATGTACATACTGTATATACAATACATACACATTATATGCAAACTTAAAGTCAATGTAGCCTCCAAGTGCACAATGCCCTTTATTCTTCAAGAATATGTCCAGTGGTAGCTTGTAGTTCAGTGAAACATCAAGGGGAGAGGCACAGCATAGGCAATATCAGACTAGTGTTATCTTTCATTGTAGAAGCATCATCACATGTTGGAATCGACATTTCAGACAGGCAGTGACCTGAAGACTATTAATTTATCCTATGTAGTTTCCTGTAGTCATAATGTCATGGTAGTTTATTTACTCTGTATTGCAAAAATAAAATTATTGAATCTATAGCTGACATGATCTACTTTTCTTGGAAGATGTAGAAAAGATGTGTAATGTGCATTAAAAAGAAATATAGATTAGCTATTCAGAAACAAGCAATAAGTTGATTATAAGTTGGGAGGTCTGTCATGAGTTTGATTAATAACTTAAATAGACCAATCATTCTTTACTCCAAGCTGTTCATTCTTTCTGCAAGAATAAGACAGCTCAGCTTGAAGTGTCTTTTCTACAGGCAGTTACAAAGTAACTTAATTACTGCACAGATGAAATATAGCACTGATCGAAGTGAAGAAAGGCTGTATCCTGTAATTTTTTTCTCCTGGATGCTGGCATTAATGCCGTTGAATAAAGACATTAGTTCCTATTCATTGCCTCAAACACTTCCTAAGAAACAGTTTGAGAATG